GGAAACAGCAAGGCATGTGAGTGACTCCAGCAGATGCAATGATTTTGAAAGCCCACAGACCTCACAAGCTGTAAAGTGTGATTTCTAAGGACTATCAAGCTTACCCATATATCAAGATGAGGTCCTTCATATTCTTTGCCTTCAAAAACTTCTGGAGCTGCATAAGGTGGGCTTCCACACCACGTGGAGAGGGGCTCTCCTGACTTGTAGAAGTTTCCAAAGCCAAAGTCTGAAATGAAGGTAAGACATCATTCAACCACATGCTAATTATTTCAGAGGTACCAGAAAAATGGAGAGATGGGAGTAGCTGTATTGTTTTCTTTTCTGCTTATTCTTTTAAGCTGTTCTCTTTTGTCCAGAGGCTACATTCAGAGAAATACTAGTAACTTTTGTTTTATTTTCAGTTACCATAAACACATTTATAGGATCATCTTAGGGAGACTGAATTTGACTACCTGCCTAATCTTTATAGAGTAACCATGTATTTTTTATTACCTGCTAACTTGATATTCATGTTAGTATCTAGCAGAAGGTTTTCTGTTTTGAGATCCCTGTGAACTATGTGGTGGCTGTGGCAATATTCCACTGCTGAAAGAATCTGCCAGAACTTCTTCCGTGCTTCACTTTCACTTAAGTGCCCATTGGAGGTCAGATGATCTGCAAGACAAAATAGAAGAGGTACAGGATTTAGAAACACCTGGAGGAAACTTTTCCCAATGCCGCAGGTGCTGCCCTTGCTGTTTGGCAGCTGACAACACCAACCCCGGATTTTTAACCAGAATACATGTATTACTCAGGAATGACAACAATAAAGCCATGGTTTCTAAATCTAAAGAACTCTTAGCTCTCAGTGACGACTTACCAAACATTTCTCCATTTTTTGCAAACTCAGTAACAATGTAAAGCATATCCTTTGTCTCCATAACCTGTGAAGACGCAAGAAGACATGCTTAAAAAAAACACAGACCTCTGCAGTTTCATTCTTTTTTCCAAGTGTATTCTCAAACCTGACTTCAATTATTTATCTGCCACAGCAGCTGGCAATAAAGGCATCTAATTTTGCACCACAGTGTTCTTTCCAAGCAAACTGGTAATGAAAAAGATAACAAATCAATGTTTATGTGCCTACAATACACAACGGCTTCCCATGCCATTGTTCTTCTCACCATTATCCTGCCACCTAATTTCCATAAGGTAACTGATGAGCATTTCAATAATTTCATACACTTCCTTGAATGCCTTTTCTTTTTGTTAAAATATGCATATACAACTTTACAATTCCTTTTATATATTTTGAACATGCAAAACCACTCAAAATTTATATAAAGTGATCCTTGTTTCAAGGCTTGCAGCTACTCAGATCAGGGGAGATTGCTGCAACTTGGACAGATCAAGAAGTAGTATCTCCTGTTTGGTGTTGGCAGGGTCATGGCAAGCCTCCCATGCAAGTGACAATAGGTTGCTGTTCGTATAGCAGCGGTCCCTGATGCACATCAACAACTGTCAATATCTAGCTCAGTCTACACCTACCAATCTAGCAGCGATTTCCTTTGATATTTTTTTCCTTTGGAGGAAAAAAAAAAAAGTAAAGAACTGAAAATCAAACCATGAATGAGAAATGCTGAGCATTTCCAAATTCATTTTCAGTTACTATGGCACATCTTTCAAACGTTGCATTTCAGATTTTAAAATAACAACATTTCTCTAGAACTGGACTCTCAAGGAGCAGATATTTTGCTTTGGAAGAAGAAGGCTCACAACAGGTTAACAATCAAAAAAGCATCAATACTACTTCAAAGGCTGTAATATCCAGGCTCCTAACATGTAACCTTTTTCTAAGACTCTTGTCCTCCCCTCACTACAAGTACACACAGACACAAAATGAAAATAAACAAACAGGGAGCAGAGGAAAAGAGGTCCCCAGTTTAAAAAAAATGAAGGAAAGTGTTCTGGGAAAGTTGCCAGCTGGATGAAATTAAGACGCGGTGCTGAAACTAAAACAATGATGAAATAATACAAGAACACACACCCTGCATTGGTATGTCATCTAATTCCAACCCTGCTTCTCAGTCTCCACCAAACAGGTAAAGCATCAGTTACAACAACAAAGAAAAGAAAACTTCACTGAAAAGAAGTTGTGGTCCACTACCAACGTCATCTGCTCCATCAAGTGAAGTGGTTCAACTAGTTGGAATTTAACCTGCTTTTCTAAAAGCTTCAAAATAGTATTTTCACCCACATCATTCCACTGAAATGAAATCAACCGAACTGTTAGAATGCTTCTGTATATCCTGTGCTGCCCTATGGGCAACAATGACGTCAGGTGCCAACACAGAGTAATTTTTGTTATGATGGTTAATACTATAAATATCAAGCACTTCATGTCTGTCAAAGTCTTTAAAAATAATGCCTTGCCTAAGCACCTGCTTTATTGGCTCTTCAGCCTTACATCGTAATTACTTTTTTTTTTAATTTCTTTCCTTTTTTTCTTAAAGCTAACAAACCCAATGGTAAGATTGCAGCTGATAATAATGTTTGCTACCACACATGGACTTTCAGACCTGCTGCTTCACCCATCTATTCTTCTCTGCCCCCTGCCCTTCTAGACAGGTCCAGACTGACTGTGATACCTCTTCCCTGCTCATTGCAGGGAGGGTGGACTAGATGACCTTTAAAGGTCCCTTCCAACCCAAACCATATTATGATTCTATGATCTTCTTAAATCCACATGGCACTGTTTATTTAAGGGGATTAAGAGGAACTTACAACAAATGCTAATTAGATTGAATATTCTGAACTTGCAAAGCAGTCCTCGCTCACAGGACAACGTGGGCACCACACATGAATTTCTTCTTACTGTTAAATATGCCCATCAGAACAAAAACTGAACAAATCTTATCCAGAATTCCTGCTGTGACACTCTACAAGGGGAAAGGTATTTAAAAATAATTTTCAAAGCTATACAGACTGGAACAGAATAACTGAACAGGTCATTTTTTGATGTCTCCCAAGATACCAACATTCACTGACTTTTCTACTTAGATTAGAATTCTTAGTGTAGATTTCTACTTAGATTGATTTGGTTTCATTGTTGCTGATTTTAAACCCCTTCCACTTATGCAAACTCAACTTTTGTGCTTTCTTTTCTGCTGCCCTACAGGAGTTTAAGTCTTTCTCTTATCAAAAGCACATAAGAAGTTCCAGCCCTCTAAACTGGAAAAGCAGGAGTTTCAAAAAGCAAGTTATAATCACAGGAGTTCAGACAATCAGCTCCTCAATCTGAAACACACTTCAGCCTAGTTTTAATTACAAATTTTACACAGCATTTTGTCAAAAGCTGCTAAAGCACCAGAATCTTGTTCAAAGAATAATGAATGACTTAAAAAAAAAGTCAATTAATTTTAAGTGTTTTTCAAAAAGTATTTCGATAGGCATCCTCTCTGCAAACATTCAATGTCAAATCACATGCAATAGAAGAGCACAGGCATATCTCATCTGCATGTTGAACTTCAAAGCTGCCCTCTTACCTGATAAAGCTTGATAATGTGGGGATGATTCAAAAGCTTCATTATCTGAACTTCTCTATAAATCTTCTCCAGATTGCTTGGGTCTAGCCTTGTTTTGTCTATTATTTTTATTGCAACCTGCAGATTAAAAAAATAATAAACTAAAACAACCCCAGGCATTACAAAATAGGTACTCTTGAAGTTAAGATCTCTTAAAATAGAAATAAAACCCCAAACCAAAACCCTGCGCACACACACAATTCACAAAATCCAAGCAAAGTAGCTTTTAAAGTACGGACTTGACAAAGCTGATTCTGTTTTTCAGAACCGCCCAGAATTCACGGCACAGAGCGTTTTCATTTTTCTTTTCTACGTCAAAAGATTATACATAAGGTAGTGAACAGAACTGCTGAAATTAGCACTGCACAGGATTCTGTAAATCTTTTAATCCACCCCATGCCAGTGAAAAGCAGATTCCCACAGCACACTATTTTCTACTTGAGTGACTGATAGGATTTTGACATACACCCGAAATATATACATGGCTGCATGCGTGCTAATGAATTATTTCTGCAAGTTCTTTGTTCTTGAAGCACGCACATTGAATTAAAAAAATCAACCCGTCTAAAGTCTTCAGAAGGTCTTACATTTGTCGGACTTTTTAGCAAACAAGGATGGAATAATTCAACAAAACTATCAAAACACAGATTCAAGGCCAGGTTGGATGGAGCTTTCAGCAACCTGGTGTAGTGGAAGGTGTCCCTGCCCATGGCAGCGAGGCTGGAGCTGGATTATCTTTAAGGTCCCTTCCAACCTAAACCATTCTGTGATTCTATGCAATTCTGGATTTCATATATTCTCGCTCAGTTTTAATTTGAGGTGGGCTCTATTGGACACACAGGGAAGCTCTTTCCAAGAGCCCCATCCCACGGGCACCCAGTCCTGAGGCACGCTCAACGCCGCTCTCCTCACCCCCGGCTCCAGCTTTCCTTTGGCGGTGCTGTCGGAGGCAGCTCTGCCGGGCGAGCCACACACACTCACACAGACAGACATCCCGCCGTGTGCTCCGCACCCACCTGCGTTCTGGTGACTCGGTGCCTAGCCAGTTTCACCACAGCGAAGTTGCCTTTCCCCAAGGTCCTCTCGATGTCGTAGAAGCCGACTCGCAGCGGCCGCTGCTGGCCCTGCCCGGCGGCGGGCACCGAGGTGTACTCTGACATGATCACCATGGCTCGGGGTGGCGGGCAGCGCGCACGCCGCGCTTAGGAGGGCACCATCCGCGCCGCACGCGGGCTCTCGCACCTGCACGGGGATACGGGCACCCCCGTCAGACCCGACGGGCTCCGGGCGACGAACACCGCCCGCCTCCCCTCACCGTCCCCTCCCCTCCCAAGCCGGCGGGCTCCTCCCCGCGTACCCCCGCCGCTGCCCCGTCCGAGCTTCGCGGGAGCGCCGGTCCCGCGCGCTCCCTCACTCCCTCATGCTCAGCCGTCGGAGCGGCCGTACCTGCCGGGCTGGCGGGCGGGCGCTGTCCGCGGCTGCTGTCGCCAGTCTGTGCCGCTGCCGCCGCTGCCGCGGAGGAGCGTGTGCGTGACTCTCAGTGACTGACTGACTGACTGACTGAGTGCGTGCGCGCTTCTGTGTGTGTGTCTGCGTGCGTGCGTGTGTGTGTGTGTGTGTGTGTGTGTGTGTGTGTGTGTCTGCGTGCGTGCGCCGGGGGGCAGGCGGGACCACGCGGGATGTCCCGGCCGCCCCCTCCACGCACACCCCGCCCTTCCCTCCCTCCCTCCCGCCTCTTTTCCCCCCGCCCACCGCCCGAAAGCCGAGACGGAGCCCATTGACGTCACTTTGACGCCAGAGAGACGCGCGCCCGGGCGCGAGGCTGAAGGGGAACGAGGCACCGGGCCGTTGCCAGGGAACGGCGCGGGCTGACGCGCGCGCTGATGGAGCCGTCGCTCGGGAGACGGAGGGGCGGTGACGTCAGGGCGGATGGGGGGGGGGGAGAGCGCCCCTGCGCTGTCACGTGACGCTCCCCGTCTGCCGGCGGGGTCGCCCCCTGCCGGCGCGCCACAGCCGCCGTCAGTCGTTAACCGGCTGGTGGTCGCTGGGGATAGCGCGCCGTTGTGGTGCACGGCGTGAGGGCCCGGCGGTGGTGGGGGTCCAGCGGGCGCCGAGCTGACCCCGGATGAGGGGGCACACCGCCGATGGAGACCCCCCCTTCTCCCCAGCCTTGCCAGCGGGCGTGCGGGGCCCCTGCCAGCCCCATCGCAGATACCGAGGCAGCCCGCGCCCTGCGGCGGAGTCCGCCGAGTTCGGGGCCACCGACAGCGGCTGTCCCGCTGGCAGTAGGGAAAGTGTGGCTGCAGCCCTGCGGGGAACGTGTTTTCCTAATCCCAAAGCGTAGGCAGTGCCGTGCCCCCTCCCCCCGCCCCGGCCCCTTTGCACCAATGTCCGCGGCGGGTACTGACCCCTGTGCCCCCACGCAGGACCATCTGCCGTTCCCGGAGTTGCCCAGGTGTGATGGACGGGGACTTCTCTAGAACGTCCCCTCTGGCACCCAAGATGGGGCTGACCCGGCCTGCGGACAGTAAACCTCTGGGTCCACCAGTTGGTCACAGGCTGGAATGGAAGTAATATATAGTATGTATATATGTCCAGTCCTGTGATACTTTTTGCAACTTATTCACATGTTCTGAGTACACCTGCAGTGCTATTATCTCTGGTCAGCCTGGAGGCGAGGTTTGAGAAGTCACCTTCTTGGCAAGGTGACTCCTGACGGAGGAGGATGCTTGGAACTGAACCTCAGCACCTTGAAAGCGCCCATGAGGTTCCTCTCAAGGTCAAATGTGGACTGGCAGATGCACCAACACACAGGTCTCTAGCCTTCACACAGCAAGTGATCAGAACGTGTATACGTTTGGTCTCAAATCCCAGTTTAGCCTCAAAAATAAGCCTTGAATGATGCCTCCACATCTGTTACTCAACTTTATGAGAATCAGCCTAGGCTTTTTTCGGACAAGTAATTCTTCAGCCAGTGGTTGGGTTTCTGGCTGGAAGACCGCCCATCTGAGTCTGAACCCCTCACCTGGCCATCGTAGTCAATGGCACACCAGGCAGTGACCCTCCTCTTCTGTCTACAGGCACCATGTGGATGGGGTTTTCCAGACTGCTTGAAATACGGCAATGCCTTGCGTGGAAGAGGCAGAGCTCTGATTCACACTGAAGACTTCAAAGCAATTGGTGTGCTTGTTTTCACCTGCAGTTGGTGGTCTCCTTGGTGGTCATTCAGTGGTGCCTGAATGGCTTCTGAACGGCTCAGGAGGGACACACAGTGGGAGGAGGGGGAGATTTTTGTCAGTTTTTAAGGATTTATTCTAAATAAGGGATGAGGAAAGCTCTATATAAATCAAATTACATGGTACATGAGCTGTGTGTCATCAGCATGCCTCAGATCTGTCGGGACGTTCCAGTGAAGCAAGCAGGACTTCCTCTGCGTCTCTTACCTAACAAACTATATCACTTGTGTTACCCGCCACAATGTGGGTGCCAGCCCTTCAGGAGGCCACTTACTCTGCAGGCTCTTTGTCATAGAAACATGGGGAAATAACTCCTAAAACTAACCCCCAAACTTTGTTTGTCTTGACCATCGCACAAAAAACCTGCTTATGTGCTGCTGGAAGCAGGGTAACAGCACGCAGGCAGCCCAGGCTATTGTAACATTCAATTAGTGCTCGCTTACACAGTGCCTTGAATAATCCGCATGAAAAGTTGACATTATTATTATTGTTGTTGTTATTATTAAGCTAACAGTATATTCTCTGTGGAGCCCATGAAGAGGAGCTGACGCACAAACAGCACATACAGTAGCAACTGCATGTGAACAGTGCCCCAGGAGTTATAAAGGAAAAAATTACCTTAATAATGGTTCCTCTGCTGTGGTGGGATTTTCCTCTCTTTAATTATAGTTGCTGTTTTCATTTGAAATTGATTAAGTGTTTTAGAATGTCAAACAGAACTGGTCCTTTTCAAAAGAACACTCAAGAGAGCCAGCCCCAGCTAGGAGCATAACATTTTTATTTCTTTTAAAGGGACTTGGAGTCTCTTTCTTCCCAAATTGGAGGAAAAGAACTGGATTTGGTGCTCTCCCTATCACCTCATGACTTTTTAATCATAAGGAGAGGTGGATGCCTGTGCCATGGCATTGTCTGAAGAGTGTAAGACCTCACCAGAGGGCTACACTAAGGGGAATCCATCATGCTGATTTCTATTACGTGCATTAGATGCAAGAGGCAAGAAGAACTGGCAAGTGTAGCTATGTGTGGAAGTTACCTGCATACTTACCTGCAATCTCTAGTCCAGAGGGTGGGGTATATACAGCTTCCGCAGTGGAGGAGGGAGCTCATCCACTGCATAGTTTTCAAGAGGTTTAAAGAGTTATAACGCTGTTATATGATTTATGAGAGTTAAATTAAGTACTTCATGTGTCTATTACTCTCAGCAACATTTTGGTATTTCTCTTCCACTTTCGTACATATGGGTCATAACAGCTTCCAGCAGTGCTGCTCAGAAGTAGCTATTGCACAGTTTTGGTAGTGTCATAATTACATCGGTTTTCTACCAGTTTCATTATGAATTGATACTGTCAGGGCATTACAAACCTCTTATACAATCACGGTTTATCATCAAAAGAGGTGCTTCTGTTGGGAAGGTTGATGCTTTTGCAATTTCTGCTTTAACACTTCTGCTGCCCTCTGGTGTCTTGGACATCCTGAACGAGGAGTCTCCTCAGAAAAACACCCGTGGTTAGGAGAGGAAAAATTACAGAGCAGGATTGTACCTTACAAGAGTAGAAAAGTGAGGAAAGCAGAGAAGTACTTTCCAAAGCACCTCCACAAGGGAGTTCCTTGATTTCTCTAGGAAGAGGGAGAAACTGGGAGGACACAACAGCTAAGTTTTCCCATTATGGCAGTCCTGTGCCCCCTCCGTGAGGGTGGCATGGTCAACGAATGGGAATATGCATGAAGACTGCTGCCTTATAGAATTTCTCTTGCAGATATTTCCAGCAATTCAATCTTTAGTCATTTCACTCAGCATTTTCAATCAGTTTCAAAACAAACTAACAACAATAGCAACTTTCTTCACTTGGCAAAAAGAACACAAACCGGAGAAACAGCAGCATTCCTTTCTACCCATTTCACCCTCCACAGCTGTAGTCAGCCTGGTTTGCTGTGATAGGTTTCCTGTGGTATTACTTGCAGCATAGCTGTAGTTTGGGTTTATTTTTCCCCAGGAAACACCAGTGTAATTATTTTGAAAATTAGACTTGTTGGAGTATTTTCAGTGTCACATCATTTACACAGTTTAGTTGAGTAAAACCCTGCTGAAGCCAATAGAGATGTTCCTGGTCCAAGTCAGACTCTGGCCTAGAAAAAAGTAAAAAGGAAGATGCCATGTTCAGAAAAGCAGAGTGACATTTAAAGAAGATGAGATAACCAACTAAAATACTTGTAGGCTTATTTTAAAGACAAAAGCATTATCTTGGAAAAAAAAAAAAAAGTAGTGCATGACTCTTTCTAATATGACTTCAGAGTGTCTTTGAATTTGAAAAAATCCAGGCTGCCACTGCAATTTTGGCAAGGATACTTAAAGGTTAGCATATCCTTACTGAGGCACCACAATGGTATCCAGAAATACATTTCAGACCACTGGAATGTCTTTGGTCATAACATTGCATCAGAGTTACATAATTATGATCGCAACAATGATCTTTTGTTGTTAACATTTATGACATTTCATAATTGATGTGGCGATGACATTTCACTGACATAATACATTGAGCTTGTCTTGCAGAGTAAAGGTACAAAGACCTTTTCTTCAGCATTCATTTAGGGCTATAAAGTAGCTTTATGAAGGGTCACCACCAGGCATGTTAAGGTTCTTTACTTTCCTAAATACAATGTGCTACAAAAGCTACCATTAATACCAAGCCTCTGCCTGGTTTTGTTTGTATTAAGGGAAGTACAAACACAGAACAAACAAGGTGGTCTATGCCCTTGAGAGTGTCTTTCTTTTATTGTAATCATTTCCCTTCCGTGTTTGTCACTCCGATAGTGCTCCACTCTGCTGGGGCATGTGAACCTGACTGACAACTGGCAACAAACACATGAAAAGATTATGTAAAAAGATAAGTGGGCCAGGTTATTTCCATTGCCCAGGATAGATAAAAGGCAGAAGCTAAACAACTAACGCTGAATAATGGCTTTTGAGGTAGGAGTTTTTTTCAGTTGCTTAAGTTTAATGACCAAAGGTGGTGATAGTAGTAAAAGCAAACACACACCTATAATCTAGCCATGCCCACTTAAATTTAGCTAAAAGTAATTTTATAGTATGTGAGCTGATTGTCAGAGAGTAAACAGTCACAGTTTCTACTGAGTTTACTTGGAGGCTGCAATTGCTCAACATCTCTTAAAACATCCATCTGCAAGGTGTCCTGCAAGGTAAAGCACATATTCTACTGAAAGGCTTTGACTAAAAAGGACTCCATGAGTCTCTGGGTTTCAGTATATCCATGTTAAGCTACTGTTGCTACTGGCGTCAGGATTAACCAGGTAGGCACATGCCTGGGGCAGAGCCACATGGAGTTCAGATGCTTATAGACCAACACTTTGAAATGATACTTTCCCACTGAGAGTGTGAGATCTTCACAAGCAAAATGCATAGCAGATAAGGAAAAGATGTAATTTCCCCCACTTGCTATAGCTAGTTTACTACTGGAAAGGTAAAAGACTGCAAGATGAAGTATTTTGCCCATGGTGGTGATGTGGCAAGTCTGTGGCAGAGCAGTGAAATGTATTTCTGTGTCCTGAACCCAGGCAAAGGGCTTTAACTGCAAGACCAACCTTCATACTGCAATTAAATGATTAATGTTAATCTTGTAGCTGGTATAAATAGAGCTACATACATGCTGTGTTTAGTACAATTTAGGCAGCTCATATATGTGATTTTTCACATCAGGCTGGACTATCTGTAAGACTAATACTTATACTTTAATGTTAGCCCCCTGCTTCCAGCTGGAGTGTGGACAGAGGTGCAGGTCAAACAGCAGGAGCTAGCTTTCTGGTGCTCCAAGGCTTTGCAACTCTTTGCCAGCAGTTGCTGTTGAAACTGTGTATGACTCCTCACTGCTCCCTGAAACATCCTACACACAGTAGCAGCTCATGTGCAGTTTTGTTGTTTGGGGTATTTAGGCCACACCTGACAAGGAAGTGTTAAGTGTAAGCTCAGTCAAGCTGCCAGCTCCAAAGCAAAAAATAAATGCTAAGTAGACTTCAGATATGAGAGCAGAGGTGGAAGAAGGATGTGTCCACAGTCCATGTGACAGGGGGGCTTGGTTCCTGTGAAATGAGCCTTCCCCTTGTCTGGCTCAGCATCCTCCCTGCTCACTGCTTTATGCATAGCTGTAATTTGAGGCTCTGGGTCCTTCCAGGGCCCCAGTCAGAGCTGGAAGCTGAGAAGGCTGCAAAGGATCCAAGACAGAAGAGGCTACAGACAGGGTAAGATGGAAACAACAAGCAGCAGGCAGCAGCAGGGAAGCAGCACTGGAAACCACTTGCAATGATGAAAGAATGAAACCCTCTGACAGTGCTGCTGGAAGGCTGGCTGTGTGGAAGAGCTGTGCTGGGGCAGGGAGGAGCTGTGGAGGCTGGGTCCTGCAGGGGTGCTGAGCTGTCAAACAAGAGCTGGGACACTCAGTCGACCCACTGTCCATGTCCAGTGGCTTCACAGCCCCAGGGCACCCCCAGCCTGAGGCAGGGCTCTTGGTGAGAGCTCCACATTCAAGCTCTAAATAAGCTAAAACTCAAGGCTAAACTCTCCTGCACTCCTTTTCCCTTGCCTTGCATGGGACCTTTTCTCTTTGCGATCCCATCTTCCAGCCTGGTGGAAGTAGTGGGAAACCAGCCCCCATTCCACAGGTTCAGGAACCTTCCCGTGGGCAGGCCAAAAGACAGAAGGCTGTTGCCCTTGGCTTTATGTCTGCAGGGGTTGCCGTGAGGTGTTCCCACCTGGGCAAGATCTGTCGGTTATTCTCCAGCCAGTGTAGATGCCCTCACTGGCTACTGGATGTCTGCCCCCATGCCTGGCCAGGGGGACAAGCCGTGAGGTTGGGAAGGTAATTCAGCCTTGTTCCTTTTGGCTTGACCTTCACCAGCGTCCTATTGGTTTTTACAGAAGTGCCAAAGGAAGCAGAGGTGCCCCGGTGGTGCAGTTGTGGGCGACGTGGACACGTGCCCAACAGGAATTAGCCTGAAACAATGGAATTCATTGCACACATATGTTCTTTGTTGATGGCTGTGCTGGAAACACACAGTTTTGATGTCCCCTCACTCCAGCTTCTGCTCCCCTCCCCTCAATTGTGAGTGACTCATGCAGAAAGCTACACATTCTTCCCCAGGGACAAAATGAATAACGGCCTCACTCACCTTTCTTCTCTATCAGTGCATTAGTGCCTGAGATCCACTGTGCTCTCACTGCAGCTTAAAATGGAAAGGCTATTGCTTTGCCAGTGTCCCAAGTAATTGCTTCATCTGCTTGTGCCTGCCTGTACCACTGCTAGGCAAGGCAGTATGCAGAGGCTTCTTTGAAGAGGGTATTAATGGTGTTTATCTACTGCATACTGAAAAATCAGGAGCTTCTCCCCTCCCCCTTTTGCTCACTCTGAAAGAAAACAGAAACAAAATAAAAGTCGCGTTTGCAGCACAGTGCCACTGGTACAGTTATTCTATGGGGAAAACCTCATATATCCACCTATTGTCTGAGCCACTACTAAGAGACCTTCGTGAATGAGCAAGTTACGAAAACAGGTATCCTTCCTTAGAGATTAATGTGATTATTTGCGTCTGATATTTCCTGCTATACAGCACAGATTGTTTGTGCCGATGGACAACTGAGAAATACGGCTTTCCACATGGGGGGAAGGACTGTTGCAACACACCTTTATTGTCCTCCTCTGGAACATCATAGTAAATTTGTTTTCCATCCATTCCTGTAAATACATTTCCTATAATTGCTATTATGTCAGATGCACTGTAACCCGTCCCCTCCTACGTCAGCTGCATTGTTGTAACCCCCTCTCCGATGTCAGGAAAACTGTAATCCTCCTCTTGCGTTACAGAGGAGCTGCATCTCTGACATTCATTTGCATTCACCCAAAGTCAGACGGAACAGGGGCAGAGAACAAAACACTAGTTTCTGCACCATGTATTTAATGAGTTCTATGGCTTTTTGGGCGTGCATGTGGGTGCTTGAAAGTAAGGCCAAACACTCAGAAACTGGCTTTCTCCAGTCACAGACCAGACAAAGGTTACTGTTAGTGCCAAGCAGAAGAAGCTCAACAGAATTTCTGCATGGCATTGAATCATGCATCATGCATTCTTACACACTGGTTCTGCATGTAACCTGTGGTGAAGGGGAAAACAATAAATACTATTTCAAAACTC